ATAACGATGGATTGTAGTTTCTGATGGATTTATTGTTTTTATTCATTGAAAAGTAGAGATGATGATTACTATAAAGCTTATTGCATATTATCCTTTGACAACAAAACAAATGAATCAAAATTTGAGGACTTGTTTAGGATGGTTGCCTCGCTTCCCCATAGCTTTGTCGAGAGCAGTAGCAAAATCTTCGAAAGGAACTAGTTCCGTCCTGTCATAAATTGACCTTAGTTAATCCAACGCAATTTCATTTTCGTGACTAGCTACGTTTTCATTTTAAAAGGAAACGATCATTAAAAAAAAACCATAGTTTCAAATCTTTTCATTTTCTAAGAACTATCTTACAAAGTATAAACTCATTTTGAAATCCTTTGATTTTCAATTAACAAGTGATTCTCTTGAAGAAAATGCACCAGGTTCTGGGTTTATTTTTTTAAAATATATAGTAAAAAACGTAAACACAAAAAAAAACAAGCACGATTTATTTTTCCTAAAAACTCTTAATTTGAAGACTCACTCGTATTTTAGCTTCCCGTCCCGTGCAAGTCCAATGAGATAGTCTATCATCTTTCTGCATTCTTTTACTTTTTCTAAATGCATCCACCTATGCAGCCAAAATCCTCTTAATGAAAGATCCTGTAGAATGAACAAGCTTTAAACGATTGATTGCTAAATTAAGAAAACATGAACACACAAAACGATTGGTTGCTAAATTATGAATCAAGATCCAAAACAACTAGACTAGAAAGTCTAGGATATAAAGATCCAAACACATTACCTTAAAGATGAAAGATGTAGTTGATACAGTGATTGGTTTCTTAGACATTGCACCGTATGTTACCATGGTTCCTCCTTCCCTGAAATATTTATGTTTCACGATACAGTAAAATGAAAAATCATACAGTTGCTACATAATTGGAAATGTCCATGTTCTATCGCACCTTAGAGTTTTGACCACGAGAGAGGCAACATTGCCACCGATGCAGTTGAATCCCATAACAGGCTCTGGCAAATTCCCCTATATGCCACACACACGCAAACATATGTTAAACTTTATATATGATGCAAACCAGGACCCTGTATATGCGCAAAAAGTGCATTTGCATAGGATCCATGTACATTTAAAAAAAAATTGGCCCAAATTTAGGGCCCGAAATCGTTTTTTTTTTTAAATGATAAATTAGGTCATTTTTCTATAAATTTTGTTATATCAAGGCTAAATATTTTTTTTGCACTAGATCCTAAATAGAATTAAGCCGGGCCTGATGCAAACTTGATTGAATGATACAGTGGGAAAGTATGCAATATCTTGTAATTAGTTACTTGGTTAATTGCCCTTTGTATATTTTTGCTTTTTCATTAAATTAATTAGCTATGAAGGCATTGTGTTATAAAT